CAAGTTAAAACTTCCTCTGGAGAATGCTAGACAACAAGACTCCCTTCACATTAGCTGATGCAAAAAGCATCCATCAGTATTTGTGAACGTCCAAGCAAGAGGAGGGGGCTGAGAGAGCCAGCAGGGTCAGTGCCTAGCTGGAAACTCCACAAGGGTGTCTCCTCTGTCCTTTGTGTGGGGCTCTCAGACAAGCCTTTAAAAAGCTTCCATTAGCAATGTAATTGATCTTCTGATGGGAAGCAGTAAGAAATCCAGCAAAATAAATATGTGATTACAATGTGCAAAAGTAGACACATATTAAGTAGTAGGTTTAATATTTACTGTCACAGCCATCTATAAACCATGCTTAGATATAACTTTCATTATTTCTTTGTACCTGTCCTTAGCTCATGAGTCCCTATCTCTGCCAGGGGCAGGAAACTTAATCTTGTACATTCAAATAACTCAGCAACTTTCAGCTTTAAATGTGATTGATTTGGGATTTAAATGTAGGCAGGTTAAAATTCTATTTCCCTTCTTCTTCTCTTTTCCCCAAAATGGAAGGGGTGAACTAATTTCCAGCAGCCTTGGCTTGTCAACCTAGTATTGGCAGGGGGGCATTTGGTGCTTGTGCAGCTCCACGAGGTGACCTGTCACTTCACAGGTCATTGGCCTCTCTCCAGATGCATTGACTGCTGTTGGTGGCTTCTCCCTGGCTGATGGTTGTCAGATCCTCACACCTCCTTTCCTGCATCCTGACTTAAAATCTCTTCAGCTGTGTACATCTTCTGCTCTTCTACTCCACCAGCACATCTCAGCTTCTCCTGGAGGTATGTGGGGTTTATGAGTCTGTCCCTGGCTCATCCATCTGGACATCTCCCTATGCCATGACTGCTGACTTGTGCAGGGACATCAGTTACCAGGCAGCAGTCCCCCTCCTCTGTAATCTCTCAAGTTCACTTGGGTTCCAATCATCCTACCCTCAGTAGATTGTGCGGCTGGCCCCAAGGTTTTGAACCTCCTAATATACATGTAATTTGCATGAGACTTTGAGATTCTTTCTATAAAAGCAGGACATATTCCCTTCTCACTGCTACCTACCCTCACCCTGCTTGACTTTGAAGTCAGCCATGTGATTTGTTTTGGCCAATACAGTGAGGCAAAAGTAATGGCAGGTCATTTTCAAGCTTTGGTCTTCATAAGCTTTCACAATTTTCTTTTGCTCTTTGTGCCTCTGCCATCACCAATAAAACATTCTTTAGCTTGCCCTCTGGTCCAAGAAGGAAAAGAGATACACCGAGTAGAACCACCCCTGCCAAGTCCAGACTAAACAAATGGACTCCCAGCTGACTTGTAGATGGATGAGAATAAAAGCTCATCATAGTATATGTCATTAAGACTTTGTGTTTGCTATGCAGCATTTTTATGGCAAAAAGTAACTGATATACTCCCACACCCAGAACTTAGCTCAGGACACTGGAAACCTGGGGTCCTAAGATCTAGTATTTCTTCTTCGGTGTTCCTTTTCTTATCTTATCAAACTTTGATCTCCTTTCTCAATGGAGGGAAAACTTCTCTTTAAGAGCCATCTATTTTTCTTTCCCCGACTATGATTTACGCTTTCAATTTGATGATCTGGGTCCTTCATGTTTTAGGTTTTGAGGAGTAAAGTGATTTTTATGGACGTCAAAAAGTCATTTTCCCTCTCTCAAAAAGCCTAGTTTTTGTACACATTGGCCTCTGAATCTGCAGTCTCAGTTTTGTGGTAAAAAACAAATCCATTGAGAGAGGCAAATGACTCTGTGTTCTTGGCTGTATCTGCTTTTCTTTGGAGGTCATTGTATCCAGAGAAGTACAGTATCTACTTTTCCAAATAGTCTAAACAATGGGAGAGGTAAGAGGCATGTGATGAGTATGAGAAAGTTGCAATGAGAATTGGCCACTTGCTTTTTCAGACCAGTATCCTACCACAAAGGTGAATGCACACAGAGCCAGCATTATCATCTCCATTACTTCCATTCATTGAGCACTTTCTGCATGAATGTTATGTGGCAGACACTTGTTTTTGTTGCTGTAAAATGCACATAACATAGGATCTGCCATTTTAACCATTTTTAACTGCATGGTTCTGTGGCAATAAGTACGTTCACATCGTTGTGCAACCATGGGAAGTGTTTTTAGACATTTTTCCATTTGTCACAACATCCCTACATGGTGTTATTATTCTTCCCAGTGTGCAGGTGAGATACAGGGGCTGAGAGAGGCTAAGTGATGTGCCAAGGTCACACAGCTATTGTCTGGCAAGTCAAAAACTCATATCTGCCTCATAGCATTTCTGGACTATGAGGGAATCTTAGGCAACATCTAGTTCAGTTATTTTCAAACTTATTTTTATGAACTGCTCAATCCTTTTCATAAATACAATTTCACATAGAAGCTTGTGGTCACAAGTGTTCCTGGTTTCAGTCTTTACTCCTCTGCATACCTGGGACCTTGGCTCATGCACCTGTGCAGTGCCCTTCTACCATGGGTGACTGGTCCCATCCCTTGACCCTGAGTTGGCCAGAGCCACACGATTTGCCAATAGGATGTTAGCAGAAGCGACATAAGCAGAGGCTTGAAAAAAGTGCTTGCATTTTCGTGCTTCTGTCATTGCCATGGGAAAGATGATGCCTGCACTCTCCCACTGGTTCCAGGAGGATAGGAGACACATGAAGCAGGCCAAACTGCTCCAGCCAAACCCAGCTCAGGCCAGTTGACTCCTTCCTACCAGCCTTACCCTAGGATGCTGAGTGTACATGGCCAAGATATAAACTGCCCAGTCCAGGTCAGCTGACCCATGCAGATGTGAGAGACAAGTGTTCACTGTTGAAGTCACTGAGGTTTGTGGGATTTTATAAAATAGCAACTTCTTGGCAATAGTTAACTGATAGAAACCTCTACCCCAAAAAAACAATGAAAATGGAGCTTTTCTTACTGAAGCAGTGGGCGGGAAGCCTGGAGTCTGAGCCATTTGTCCTCCCTCATCCTCTGTGGCTGGCTGTGAGGCCATATGTTAGCACCAGGTTCCATGGAACACACTTTGACAAACCGTCGCTCAATTCCACACCATCTGCCTGGGTCTGGTTTCATTCCCTTCTTCTTCTCCCGGATTAAATCTTTGAATTCTCTCTACAGCATCTCTGTCACGCTTTCTCAACTTGAACACCTCCGTCACAGGGAGCTCCCTCTCTTCTAAGACAGTGAGTTCCACTTTAGAAAGCTCTGGTGATTGGACAATGATTCCTTATTTGCTGGGGAGCTCAGGGCTACAGCAGAAGAATGGGGTAGAATATGGTGGGAAAGAGACGGTTTCTGGTCGAGCTTCTACCAAAGAAATAGCTGACATTTTTGCCTCAGATTCTTCTCTTCCAGGATAAGTGGGTGATGGCACACACACCTCATAAGCAGGCCCAATCACCCACTTTTTATAATAATTGTATTGAGCACATACTAGGAGTCTGGCACAGTGCTAAGGATGTCAGATGGGTAATCTTTAATTCTTTGAGATAGGCATTATAATTAGCCTAATTTTGCTAATGGGAAAAATCAGTCTTGGAGATGGTGAATAACTTGGGCATGATCTTGCAGCTGGTCAGTGGTGTAGGTGGTCTTTGAACTCAGGTTTGTTTACTTGGAAACTGGTGTTCATAGGAACTGCGTATTAATAATAACAACAATCATAGAAGCAATTGCAACTACAATAACCATACCATGGCTATTAATAACTAACTTTGATCAATTCCTTAAGGGTTAAGCCTTGTTCTAAGAGCTTTTGTGGACTAACTTATTTAATCCTCACAAAAGAACCTGGAAGGAAGGTAATTTCCCATTTTTAGAGATTAATAAACTGTAATCCCGCCCCAGCCTCAGCATTTTCATCACTTACAGTGAATTCCTTCCTTATTTGAAATAGTGAGTTCTCTGTCATAGAAGGCATTTGAATCAGCACTGGAAGAGTGCTTTTTAGGGGTGTACTAATGCTCTTTAGGGGTATACTAGGCAGTGGAACCTACTAGTGACCACTATGGTGTCTTTTCCACCCTGACATCCCTCCCCACCCCCTCCCCACCCGCTCCACACCGCATCCTGATTCCTCTACAACTCCACCCCTCATTACCACCCCCATCACTTCCATGTTTGTGAGCAAGAAAGAAGGAATCCCTTTCACTTACTGGGTTTCTACTACAAGCCAGATCCCGAACTAAGTCTTGTATGTCATTACTTTATTTCAAGCTCACGCCAGCCTCCAGAGAATGCTGATATTGCTCTTCATAGTGTTTGTTGCCATTTATTTGCTTGCTTGACAATTGTCTTGCCTCTAGACTACTATCTTGGGGAAGGCAGGAACTATGCTTATTTTATTTCTCTCTAGGACTACTGCACTTAGGAATTCCTCACTAAAGCACTGTGAACCCCGGCTCACAGAGGCATGACTAACTTCAAAGGTAGCCACACAATGGTTAAGAGCAAGGCTCTGAAGCCGAACTTCCTGAGCTCAAATCCCAGCCCTGCTACTTACTAGCTCTGTGGATTTTGGCAAGTGATTAGCTTCTCTGTGCCTTAGGTTTCTGCATATTTAAAAGAAGAATCACATTTTTACTGTACCACGGAAGTCAAGCACAGCGGTAAAACTAGGGATTCTGGAGACAGACTGCTCAGGTTCATATTCCAGCTCTGCCCCCATCTCCTAGGGCATCTGAGACAAAGCATGCCTCTGCCTCTATTTCTCCCCTGAAAAGTTAGCAGAGATAATAATAATAGCTTCTCTCTCACAGAGTTGTTGCAGGGTCTAAATGAGCCAAGACTTGTGAAGAGCTCAGAATGGGTTCTGGCACAGAGTAAATAAACATGGCAGACTCAAGGTCATCTGGCTAGTTAGCAAGCTAGTTGAAATTTGAGTCCAAGTTCACCTCAAAGTTCATTGCTCTTTAAAACACCCCCGAAGTTTTGAGATGTGCTGTTTGCTTGAGTTACTTTCTTTCAGCACCTCTAAGAGAGCAGACCCTTTCCTCACACTATTTCTCCAATTGACATCCTGACATACATGAAACATTTTCTATTTCGCTAGAGACAAACATATTTTCTACCCAGGGAGGAAGTGGAGCCTGCTTCTAGAAGGGAGTGAAAAGAGTCATCAAAAAACAGAGACCAGCAAAAGAAGATGCAAAAATAATTAAAGTATGAAACGTGCTGCCGTCTTCGCAGGATTTCAATTTTGCATTGCCTAAGGGGAGAGGGGTGGCAGACGTTCACTTTGTCACACTGATACGCATTTTGATAAAGTGTGATAAAGACTTAGAAAAATTGACAGATTAAATTGGAATAACAGCTTTGGACATTTGCATCCTGTAAGCCAGGAGAAGGGGTGAACGTACAGAGAAGCTCCACGGGGTTTCCAGCCTCTCCCTGCATCACACAACAAAGCAACTCAGGTGCTTTGGGTCCTTCCGTAGGGCTCTTCCAGCTCTGTGGCAGGGTCCAGGTTTAGTGATGAAGACATGGAGCCCAGAAGGAATAAAAACTTCCTGTGGTCAATGGGTAAGTCCTTGATTTGGCAGAGCTGGGATTAGATCTTGGGTCTTCTGATCCCTGGTCCATTGTTCCTCTCAGCCATCATTCATTCATTCATTCATTCAGCCATTCAGCCATTCAGCTATTCACTTATTTAATCAATATGTATTAATGGTCCTGTACTGGGCATCAAGCATTCAGTATGAAGGGAACAGGATCGAGATCAACAAACAGCAATGACAGCTCATGTTTGTTTTTATTTTCACTTTCTCTTTTTCTACTGAGGACTGTTACTCTTTCCAGCCCTTTCCATTTCTCTGTCTCATGTGAGCATCAGGCCAGGCAGGCAGAGGTTGGTTGGGATTTTCACCCTGTGTCCTCATCTGTCAATCAAGCCTTAGTAGAGTCATTTGCCCATGGCTTGATGATATATTTTTCCCTTCCTGAGTGCTGGGAGAAGGCAAGACGGTACCACCACCCTCAGGGACTTTAGGCCACTTGTCTCAGATTCAGGGAGTACAGCATTCCTTGGTATTAATTAACTCCTTGAGTTAAATTGCGCATTTGCAGAAGCTCAGAGGCCAAGTTCAGAGGAGAAGTGAATGTGGACATCTTTGACCATTGCGTCATTTATTTGAATAGCACATGTTTATTGGGCAGCTACTATATGCCAGGGCCTGTGCTAGGTGGCTGAGGTGTAATCTTTAGAAGCTCCTGGACTATCAGGAGAGGTGTTCTCAACAGACAATAGTAAATAGGTCTCAAGAAGACAAAGATGGTCTTATCTCAGGGGTCAGTTCAGACCTAACAGGGTAATATTTTTAAAGTCAGCTGGAGTTGAGTCTAAAACCCACTTGCTCTAATGAAGACCTGCATGTCACTCACTCTCTATGAATCCCAGTTTCCTGTTCTATAAAATGAGGTGACAATACCTAACTCACTGGGTGGTTGTGAGAAATCACATGAGATAATGTTTGCGAAGCATCTGGAACACAGTTGGCCCTGTCAATATCGATTTCTTTTCCCTTCCTCCTGAGACATGCCCTTGTTTCATGCCGTGAACTGACCAGGCCTGTTGCCAATCAGATGGCCAGATCCTCACGGACAGGGGGAAGTATTGCTGCTGGCCATGTGACCTGGGCACCTGATCCACAGAGTGAGGGTAATCACGCCTCCTTTCCAGGATTATTGTGAGTGCGGCCAGGACTCCAGAGAGGCGAGAGAGGTGCCAGGGTCCACAGTGTAAGGAGGTGCTCACGGTTAGGGGTGCACCTGTGAGTACAGAGTTGGTGCTTGCCTTGTTGGTGAGCACCAAATATATCCACCAATGCAAAGTGGGGATCCCAGAACCCGTCAGTAAGTGGGCATAGCTTTTGGCTGGGGTTATGTGCATGAAAGAAGTGGAAACTCACTCAAGCTATTTCAAAGAAAAGGAATTTATTTTAAAAACATATGTTCCCCCATTTAAAATGGGGGAACAGGGTCTCATGGGAATCATTGAAGAACCAGGACCCAAGAATGGAGCCAGGTTACGGGGAGCCCGGAGTGGTGGAGGGCCAGTGGAGGATGTGTGGTGGCTCCTGGAAGTCCTGCAGGAGTTCAGGGCTCCCTTAGTGTGGCTTTCAAGGTCCTACAGAACATGTTCCTCTCCTGCCTGCTTCCCCAGCCTCAAATCTGACCCCTGTTTTTCATCAGATTCTGTCCCTGCCCACAGCCGCCCTGCAGTCCCTGAGTGCCGAGCTCTTTTGCCTCTGTTTCCTGCATTTGTGCCCCTGCCTGGACACTCTTGTCTCCTCTTTTCACCAGGAAAACCCCTGCCCTTTTTTTAAGAGCTGGTTTCATTGCCATTTTATTCAAGAGGCCTCCCTGGCCCCCTAGTACAATTTAAGTTGCCTGTGATTCTCTCTCTCAAGGCACTCTTTCTGTAGCTACATATTTACTGGCGTAACTATTTGTTCAACATCTGTCATTTCTCACTAGACTGCCAATTATGTGATGACAAGGACTGATCTGTTTTGCTATTTACTGTACCCCAGTGCCTGGCACAGTGCTTGGCAATGGGAGGCACTCCATAAATATTTATTGAATGAATGAAGGAAGGTCCATTTCTTTACTCCAATAACCTGCCATTCATGTGCATCAGGCTGCACTCCATTTATGAGCTGAATTCTGCTACCATTTGCTTTTCTCTGCTTCTAGAGTTTCTGAGTTATTTTCTTCCATACTGAAATTTGCTCCTGGCTCCTCACAGCCTCCAAAACCCCCATCCTCACCTTTCAGCTGCAGCTTTTAACACCAACTGGCAGTCTTTTTATGTTTCTTAGTTCAAATTACCTAGAGGAGAAATGTGACTGGTCCAGTTCACCTTGTCAGATGAGATCATAGGGTTGAGTCCATGATGGACAGCCAGTCTATGGATCAGTTGCCTTTGGGGCAGGTGTCCACATAACCCTGTATGGTCCACACAGTCACCGGCCACATGGGGTTATTAAACACTTGAAACATAGCTAGTGTCACAGGTAGAAGTGATACCATTTCTACATAGCGGCTCAATAAAATGTTATTCAAATTAATTTTCTTTGTCTTTTTACCTTGTTTAATGTGTCTCCTGGAAAATCTAAGATCACGTATGTGGCTCGTGTTACATTTTCATTAGACAGCGTTGAGGCAGTCGTTGCTGGAGAGTTGAGGTAGGGAGCCAGATTACTTGGTGTAAAACAGGGGCCACCTGAAGAGCAGGAGATGTGTTTAGGAAAGCTTCCTTTAGAAGGGGACACTGGATAACATCTGTTATATTTTGACTACTGCAATTGTATTAGAGTCCATTGGCATGTATTTATTATGTATTTTCACAGTAACATTAATCATGTTATCCTATTGTATTAGTTATCTATTGCTGTATAACAGTATCAGGATAAATATGGTGTCCTAAAGCAACAGACATTTATTAATTCACAGTTTCTGTGGGCCAGGAGTTCAGGCATGGCTTGTCTGGATCCTTTGCTGTAGGGGCTCATAAGGCTGAAATCAAGGTGTTGGTTGGGGCTGTCCTCTCATCGTGCTTCTTAACTGAGTAGTTGTGGGTGGTTGTGAGCTTACTTGATTTTGGCAGGATTTAGTTCCTTGCAGCTGTGGCACAGAGGACAGTGTTTTGCTGGCTGCTGGCTGGTGTCTTGTCACATGGGCCTCCCAACATGGCCACTTGTTTTATCAAAGGCAGCAAGCGGGAGAGTCTTCTGGCAAGACTGATGTTGCAGTCTCATGGAACAAATCGCAGAAATAACATCCCATCATCTTTGTCCTATTGGCTAAAAGCAAGTAACAGGCCCTGCCTGCATGAAAGGGGAGGGAACCACGTGAGGGAGTAAACACCAGGTATCATGGGGGGCTCCTGAGCATCAGGCCACCACATTATACAGTGCTTACGTTGGAGCTGGGACTATAGACATAGGCCACCATATGTTCCAGATATAGCCATTATATTAGGAATCATTGGCTCCAGTTACCCCACAAGGAAACTGAGGCCCAGTGTCTTAGTCCATTCGAGTGGCTATAACAAAATACCATAGACTGGGTCATATATAAACAACAGTCTTTTATTTCTCATAGCTCTGGAGGCTGTGAAGTCAATATCAAGGCATTGATAGATTCCGTGTCTAGAGAGGGCCCATTTTTTTGGCGCATAGATGGCTCCTTCCAGCTGTGATTTCACACAGTGAAAGGGGTGAATGAGCTCCCTTGGGTGTATCTTATAAGGGCACTAATCCCATTCATGAGGGATCTCCCTTCCTGATCTAATCACCTCCCACAAAGCCCCACCTAATACCATCACCTTGGGGGTTAGGACTTCAACGTATGAATTTGTGTGGGAGGGCACAAACATTCAGACTATAGCACCCAGAGAAGGGAATGGGGCTGCAAAGATGCCACAGGGGGTGTCAGCAGTGGGGTCAGAATGTGAAACTCCCCACTCTATATCCCACCAGCTCTAACAGCAAGTGGTGGAATTGAGGCAATGAACTTTGTTCTTTGCACAGAAAAGGTCATAAAATTCTGTAGATTAGGAGAAAAGGCTGATGGCAGATCACCCCTCCTTAGGGGTGCGATGGCTTTGAACGGGCCTCTCTCATTGGTCAAGCATCTTGTGTCCTGGTCACTGCAAGAAGACAGGCAGAAAATGCCCTGCTGTTTGTGGCCATTAATGGCCCTGGGGCTTCTCAGGCAAGTTGAAGGCTGACTTGCAGAGGCCCAGCAGGATCTCTAGTTAGCCACAATTGGTTCTGCTTCCAATTTCTCGGCTGACCAGCTGGAGACATGGCTTCTTTCTTACTTCTGGAACACTGTGAGGCAATATTCAACCACATGCAGAAGCTTGTCAGTTGGGAGTGTGTGTACACACAGCTCTAAAAGGTGCAGAATATCATCCCTGAATTTAAGAGTATAGGAAGTCCTTTAGAGCTAACAGAAATGTTGTCTATCTATTTATTCATTTATTTATTTTAAAACATAGTAATATAGTATTGATGGCCAAGCAAAATTCAACTTATGCTTTTCGAAGAGGTATGTGGCTTAACAATTTTCTGTATTATTATACTTTTTCTGCTAAAATGCAATTTATTCATAATGTAGAATTGTCTTTGTAGAAAAACTTCCCTTGTTAAAAAACATCTTTATTGAACTATAATTGATATGTAAAACTGTACAAATTTCTTACATATAATTTGATGAATTTATATATATATATATACACCCATACAACAATCACCATGATCAAGACAATGGACATATCCATCACCTCCAGAAGTTTCCTTATGCCCTTTTTTTTCTGTTCATTTGTTTTTGTTTCATGCCTAGTAAGAGCACTTAACATGGGATCTACCCTCTTAAATTTTTTTAAGTACACAATACACGATTATTGACTCTAGGCATTATTTTATATGGCAGATCTCTAGAACTTATTCATCTTGTATAACTGAGACTTCATACCCACTGAATGCTTCTCCTCATTTCCACTGATGAGAGGTGAC